TTTTTTAAATCAAGTAGCGTGGACAAGGCCACTGAATGGCTTTTGTGGGTCTAAGGCACTTTGTGTTAGTGATTCCCTTCTTACGTTAGTGTGTGTGTGTGTAAGTATATGTATATGATGTTTTATGACATCGTTGGTATACAGATGAATTTAACCTTCAACTCTGAAAGTTCATTTTTTAATCCTGACTCTAAAAGAAACTAAAACATTTTCCTGGGCCCTAGCACTGTATGTCTACCATCCCTAAAACATAGGTGGGTCAGCCCTGTCATGTGTTATAGCAAAACTCATTAGCTCTTCATGAGAAGCACTAATTTAATCCAACTGCCTCATTTTACAAAGAATAATATAAAGCTGCACACATGCTTGAGAACCTGCGAGTCTGAGAGTGAGGAAGGACAAAATCAGAACTAGATCTCAGATGCCAGCTTCCTAATCTTTCCCCTTCATCACACTGCTGTCTTCCTTTGAGGCTCTTCTCCCAGAGCCCTTTGTCTTGTCCCATCTGCTTCAGGGTCTTCGCATGGTAATTAATCATGGGTCCTTCCATGAATCCAGCCCTCTCTCAGGTGTGAGGACTGCTCTGTGTGGAGGTGACACCACCTTGTGGCTCTCTTTAAGTAGAATTTTGCCATGGGAGGCCAGTCAGTTCACAGCCTTCCCCCCGTGGAGTCAGTTCACTCCGCTCCAACACGGGGAACCCACCAAGATCCCAGTAAGAAAAACACAAATGATGCAACAAATCAGGATAGATTTAGGCTTTGGTTTTTTGATGCAATCTTCCAAATTATAGCTCCCCATTAAAACTAGCTAAAATTGATGATAGTGCTTGGGATAGGTTCACTACTTATATCCTAGACCGGCGCTTTCTAGGGTGGAGTTTATATGGAAGACCAAAGCTTTACTCCTTGCCACTGTCAACCCTTCATCTTACTTAGCACTTCAAATAAGTGAAGCCTTGTTTTTAACTCAGCCCCTGGGGAATTGTTCTGTTGACAAAGTACTGCAGAGAAAAGTCCAAACAATTCTTAAGAGCCACCTCTGGTGACCAGACTTTGTAACCTTCTTGTTTATCCAAAGTGGAGCTACATCTACCTGAAAATACTGTAAGTTGTAAATGGTATTTGTGTTTAGGGAAAGACAAACAGATCATTCTTAAGCTCGCTTCCAGCCATCTGTAACTGTCGTCATTAGAAAGTTCTGACTTTGAAAAAATAACAGATTCTGGTGAGGTTGCAAAGAAAAGGGAACACTTATACACTGTTGGTGGGAGTGTCAAAGGCAGTATGGTGATTCTTGAAAGAACTAAAAGTAGAACTACCATGAAACCCAGCAATCCCATCACTGGGTATATACCCAGATGAATAGAAATCATTCTACCATAAACGTTCATTGCAAACGTTCATTGCAGCACCATTCACAATAGCAAAGACATGGAATCCATCTAAATGCCCATCAGTGACAGACTGGATAAAGAAAATGTGGCATCTATGCATCACAGAATACTATGCAGCCATAAAAAAAATGAGATCACGTCTTTTGCAGGAACATGGATGGCGCTGGAGACTGCTATCCTTAGCAAACTAATGCAGGAACAGAAAACCAAACACTGCATGTTCTCACTTATAAGTGGGAGCTAAATGACAAGAACTTACTAACACAAAGAAGGAAACAGCAGATACTGGGGTCTACTTGAGGGAGTAGGTTGGGAGGAGGGAGAGGAACAGAAAAGGTAACTATTGGATACTGGGCTTAATACCTGTGTGATGAAATAATCTGTACAATGAACCCCCATGTAACAAACCTTCACATGTATCCCCAAATCTAAAATAAAAGCTAAAAATAGTTCTGACTTTATGCTAGCTAATGTTATTGTTTATTACTATTGCCATGATAACATACCACAGGAAAAACATATTTAGCAAAAATCATTTTTTATGGTGAAGACCTTTTTATTTATTTTGAGGCTCAACCAAAAAATAATTCCAATCTGTAGGGAGATGATGTAAGTGATCTGCAATTATGCACTCCTACAGGTTCATTGATTGAAACATTATTCAACTGTAATATCTTTTAAAAGTATAATTCTAATGCCGAAAAAAAAGAGCAAGATAATTAACCTTTCTGAGCCCTTTGCCCCATCTGCAGAATGGTGTTGTTAATATCCACTTAGGATGTTGTTTTGAAGATTAAATTATCTGAACAAACATTGACTGAGTACCTCTCATGCCAGGCTCTTTTTTAAGTGCTGCAGATACCACAGTGAGCAAAACATAAGAGTGCTGTTTTTATGCAGTATCATTTTAACTGGAGTTAAATGTTTCCCTCCTGATTCTTAAGTCATTGAAGCAGAGTGTTGCCTGAGAATGGGTTGGAACTGGATTTTATGTACTTGTAGTTCTAAAATAATTATCTCCCTTCTTGCTATATGTTTTAAGTTATAACAACTGCTAAAGGTTAATTCTTCAGCAGGACCATTTATAGTTTTTTATCATTTTTTTAGCTCACAAAACTTTATCTGTAAAGCAACATTATATTTGCAGTAAATATTTTGCACTGATTTATATTTGTTAATATGTACTATGAATAAATAAATATAATTTGCATCATAAATTTCTAGAGAGGGAGATATACAGTCTTCATCGCATGAAAATTCCAAATGATAAGCTGTTACCTTGATATAGGAAAACCTTCTCCTCAGATTTGTCACTGGGCAAGCCTGCATATATACAGCTAGCCACAAAAAGATCTTATGACTGTGGTTAAGTCACTGATGGGACAAGTTGCTCTTGTTTAGTGGCAATGACACCAATGACGAAGTGATCTAGAAAGATGTTCCTCTTTCGAATTGATTTTCTTCCTGGAATGGTTAAAGTACATCCTGGTTCTCCCAGATACAACATCTGATCATCAGCAAGTATCAGATGCCCTATCTGGAAGATATGCATACATTTTATTACTTTTCTAGATAAAATAATGACAACTGAATAACTAAGCATATTCTGATTGGTTATTTATACAACCAATATATATATTTATTAAAAATGGATGATTTTCTACTTTATTTGGAGCAATGAATGAAGAGGTAGAACTTAAGAAATTTATTAATATTAGTGATCCAAAAGTAATGTCATTGTCACTTATAACCCACATGGGGCCCTCAGGGCCAGCATTATCATCAGTGTAAAGGTCAGATCTGTTTGATCTGATTTTTCTTCTGTGTAAGATTTGATAAGACATAGCGTTATTGCTAGCTATATATTTGAATTTTACGTGAATGCACCATTGTAAAACTGTTGTTGCCGTCTCAAGGTGTTGGCAACATTCCAGACCAATGTCATCTGAAGCAACTAGATTATAATGAAAAACCAATTGCTCTTTAAAATGCATCCTGTCTCTTTATTAGCACGCATGTACATTGGCCTGCATGGCTTCCTTCAGAGCCAATTATACTGTTTTTAAAAAATAGTAATAGAGAAGATAAAAGATAAAGAAATATAAAGCTATTCAACTGTAGAATCACTCACCAGATTTTCTCGGAATGCCACACTCTAAGCACTAATGTATTCACAGTCAGCACAGTTACCTAGAGGAGAGTGTTTAAGGCAAAGATTGTCCACAGTCTTAATATTTCTTACTAAATCATGTCTTTCTATTTTTTTCTAGGAATATAAACAATAGGTTGCTCCAAAGATGTTCACTTAAATATCCCCTACCTGCCTTTTGCCTCCCAAGGCCTACTTGCTACCTGGTTTCATTTTGCTAAAATACTTATTAGACTTTGAAAAATCATAATATTCAATTTCCTGCCTTTTCCTTGAATACACAAATAATAGAGGAAGAGCTAGGCAAAGATTATTTCATGGCTGTTTAGGAAGTACTAAGTAGAATTTAAACCTGCTGATGGGTCAGTTTTTAGTTCCTCCTCTTTATACTCTTGAGAAAGTCTCCAATATTAGAAGGTAAGTATATATCCTGACCCAGTTTTATCTTAGAAACTCTTTGTTCCTTATATCTGTTCACTAAATTTCAATACCAAGGGTATTTGGATATTTGAAAGGTTTAAGAATTTTAGTTTCCTTTCTTCTTACCTATAGATGGGATAAATTTCATCTCCATCCTGTTCCAATGAACTTAGTGTCTAGAGTAACCACTGGATCAAAAACAAAGAGATGTTCCACTCAGCTTCTTGGGTTCTGTGTTCACACATCATATCTAAATTCATGCACTACCATTCCAAACTGGCACACCCTTTCTGGAAGCTAATTTGGCATTGATTGCTAACCTGCTGCTTGTGCACACATAATTTGGCATTATTTTTAAACAGCCTTAAAATCCATATAGCCTTTGACAACAAAAACATAATTTAACATTCAGACAAAGAGTTCTATGAAAGGTGTTCATCATGATGTTTATAATAAATGAAAGGGTGAAAATCTTTTACATCTTGATATCCAAGAACAAGAATTAGTTAAATAAATGTTGGTACATACATATAATGGAGTTCTCCAAAGCTATGGTCAAGACCAATGTTCTAGAAGTATTTCTAAAATGACATATCAGAAATTCTCATGCTGCAATATTATGATAAAAATCCAAAACAGAATTGCACACACAGTATGTTCTTAACCATGTATAAGTAATATGAATAGGGAGGGGAAAAAAATGAGACGTACATCAAAATATTAACAGTGGTTATTGTTATTCCTTTCTTTTGTTCCAGTTTTTTCTTACACATTTTTCTGTGTTATCAAAATTCTCTCTAATGGACATGAAATAAAATAAATTTTCAAAAACTAAGATACAGAAGAAAAATATTAATGGAGCAATCAACGCACTACATGGTTTTGTGTCCATTCTACTTCTTTGGCAAGCCACAGACTTCTTTCTGCCTGACACTTTCCTAGGAATGTACAGTGTGAATTCTCCTACCAGAGAAAAAACAACTATAGAGAGACAATGATAGGAATCTGTGTCACCTAGTCTCTGTTCTTTTCCAGCACACAACAGTTCTGCCCTTTATATTAATCGAGATGAGGACATCGCACCATCAGTATCCCAGCAGGAGCAGCGGACTCACCGCCATATGTACCTTCTCTGTTGGCTATATATTATGGTAAGGACCATGCCTGCTGGGCTTTCTTATTGTATTAGATTTTGCACTGCTAAATTTGGACACATATTTCATTATGGATATAATCACTAACAGATTCACACTGTGTGCCTCATTTGGTCCAAGACCTGGGCTTTGTCTCGCTTCCCCAGATGCTTATATTTTTAGAAAGTATATGCCAAACCTCACACAACAGGAATTTGTTGAACAATCCCATGTAAGCAGTGGTTCTTCCAAGGCTGCATTTTTCAATTCTTTTTCAAACTAAATGTTTTTCTTGGACACTGGCTTTATTGCTTAAGGGCTTTTTTGCTTGGGATTTTGTTGCTGTTGCTTTTGCTGGGGGGCAGGGGAGTTACAGCAAACACAAATGAGAACAGAAGTGACCTCTTAGAGCAATGACTTTAAACTTACTAGGAAATAAGTGAAAATGCACATTTTCCCTGGTCCCTTTCAAACCTATTCCAGAATTAGCTGTTACATAGAGAATGCATTGAACTGTTTTGTTTTTAAATATCAGGGTAAATAAACCACGAGAAATCTTCATTTGATCTATTGTGCACAATTCAGATCGAAATGTGAGGTGCCAGATTTATCTGATGAAAGAATTTTTGCCTAGCAAGTCTGCTTCACATTAATTTCAGTTCTTATCAGGTTTTTAACACTTCAAAAATTATTTATCTTAACATAGAGAATTTCTTATTTCTCTCTATAATTCCAAGTCCTCTCTGACATACTAACACGCACAGAGGAGGTCCCTCCTGCCAGCATTTCTGCCTCTTGGGACTCTTTCGTCCTGAGTTCTGGGTCACCATCCCCTCCTTTAAGCCTGAAGGACTGGCGAATGTTCTTCCAAACACCCTTCAACTGTACTTAATCCCCCCAAATCCTAGAGCTCTATGGGAGGCCCCATCTCCATGGAGCATCTTGCTCCAGCTGGAATTGAACTATAAAGTAAAGATCACTACAGTACATTACACACTTTGCATAAACAATCACATGATGCCCCAAATCTGAGCAGAAAGGGAATTTGCTTCAGGAAGTCACACCCTGTGGCTGGATCTAAGGGCACATCCAGAGGATGTCCGTGTGGACAAGCGTGAGCCACCATGCCCAGCTGGGAGGAGCTTTACCACATGATTGAATGCTCCTCCCAGCTGGGTGCGGTGGCTCACGCTTATAATCCCAGCACTTTGGGAGGCCCAGGCAGGCAGATCACTTGAGACCAGGAGTTCAAGACCAGTCTTGGCAACATGGTGAAACCTCATCTCTACCAAAAATACAAAAATTAGCCGGGCGTGGTGGTACAAGCCCATAATCCCACCTACTTGGGAGGCTGAGGCATAAGAATCTCTTGAACCCAGGAGGCAGAGTTTGCAGTGAGCTGAGATCATGCCACTGCACTCCAGCCTAGGCAAGAAAGCAACACTCTGTCTCAAAAATAAATAAATAAATAAATAAATAAGCTTCTCCCATTGCTACTCCATGAACTAGTAAAGACCACTTGCAAGGACTAGGGAAGAGTTTATTTTCCTAATTACTTTCTAAGTTTTTTTTCCCTCATCCAAAACGTTAAGTGTTGATTTTCTCTGATAGAAAATGTCTAAATGATAGAACTCACACCTGCAGTGTGACTAAAGTTATGTCTTAAAAATGGATTTATGGGCTGGGCATTGTGGCTTTTGCCTGTAATTCCAGCACCTTGGGAGTCTGAGGTGGGCAGATCACAAGGTCAGGAGACCAGAGATCGAGCCATCCTAGCCAACATGGTGAAACCCTGTCTCTACTAAAATACAAAAATTAGCTGGGTGTGGTGGTGCGCACCTGTAATCCTAGCTACTCTGGAGGCTGAGGCAGGAGAATCACTTGAACCTGAGAGACAGAGATTGCAGTGAGCCAAGATCGCACCACTGCACTCCAGCCAGGTGACAGAGCGAGACTCTGTCTCAAAAAAAAAATGTTTTATGTGCTTTATACATATGAACTTATATTCAAATGAATGTAGTCTCTCAGAAGAGTCAAGTAGGGAGGGTACACAATTATTCCAGGGATGCCACAATGTTTAAAACATACCTGGAACTGCCTATAGCCTTAGTTTAAAAATCAGTCTCACATCCCCACCCCACCCCATATATGGCCTCATTAGTTTGCACTCATATTTGCTTACCTGTGGAAAAGGCAAGTTCTTTACTCTGGGAACTCTGGGTGTATTTCTGCCAATCCATTTATAAGCTATTAAATTATCTACATCTTGTAGCACCCCAGAGATTTCAGGAACCATGTACTTTCTGATGGCCTGTCTTCCACTGTGGATAGAATCAGTCCATGTTCCAAAGAGATACATGGGAAATACCACATAGTCCTCATTATAGACCCCCAAGGTCCCTCATTAAAATGAAGCATTACTCATACTCTGCGTGCCAAGTGAGGCTCGCCAGCTCTGCGTCTCCCTAAGCAAACCAGTACTTGTTTGGACATGTATTTGCATTAACCAGCGAATTCTCGGATTTGTTCTGAGAAAGCATTCAAAGTAGACTTTTTCCTTTGGTGTTCTGCCCTGGGCATTCATAACCATGCCAAAAGCTAAACAACGGCCCTCACATTATGTCACATTATATAAATCCAAGATTTTAATTGTTATCAGAAAGCTGCTGGCTTTTGTTTCCTTTCAGACTATGTTAGGGCCGACATACCAGTGACATGACAGCCAAAGTTTTGGGATATGAAATCTTCTGATAGCATACCAGGATTGTAACTGGACATTCCAGAGCCCCATGCCAAGATGAAAGAAAGCATTCCTCTCATCACATGCTAATTATAAAAGAAATAGATCACCTGTGCAATACTGAGTAAGGTTGAGCTAAATCTATACCTCGGGGGCTGCTGGCCAGGCTGGTTGGCTGTTTTGCTGGGACTTTAACTTGCTGTCCATTTAGACTCAGCTGGTCCTTCTTATCTAAATCTATTCTCTTCCCAGGTTTGGATAGCAAGAGTTGAGCAAGTGAGGGATACCTGGACTTTCCCCATTGACTCGTTCTCATTGAGCTCCCCCTCTTAGTGGCTCTGCTTCCCAGCCCTGTTGCGGTCCTCCCCAAGCTTAGCATCTGAAGGCCATCCCAGTCTCCTTCCACGACCACTTTTTCCTCCCTGCCCTGTTTCTGTTTCTCTGAGCCCAAACGTTTTGGACAGAAACATCACCTGTCCATTTGTGGGGCGCTCTTAACTCCTTTCCTGGACACCTCCCCTCCATCCTCAACTCCTCACACACACATAACTTCTCTGCACTGTTCGTGAGATTTTCCATAATCAATGAGAGGACTCTTATTTATAGCATTCTGGATACATACAGAGGTCTCCTTGGTTTCTGATGTAAGTATCAGGAATCATAATGAGTTCCATTCCTTTGAGCCAGACACTGTGCTAGGTTCAGTTCAGATATTATCTTATTTAGTTCCCCAAACAGTCCTTAGAGATGGGCACGATCTTGCCCATTTTACAGAGAAGTATGCTGAAGTGTAGAGAGAGCGCATGACTTGCCCAGGGTGAGCCACTGCGTTGTTGTCAGTACGACAGTGCAAGTGTCAGTGAGTGGCTCCAGACTGTAGACTGTTAACCAGACCCTCCACTGCTCCTGCTGCCGAAGAGTAACTCTATGAATGAACATACTAAGTGAGTTTTTAAATTTTGGTTAGTAGAAGTACATCAGACTCAGCCAAGTCTGGTGGCTGAGCTCACTTTCTGGGTTGGAAACATTTCTAGTCTTTAACTTACTCAGAAGTAAAACAGGGAGGAGGATGGAATTATGTCATAGTTGGAAAGACATTTTATTGTATATAAAGCCCATAGAACAATGCCTGGCTCACAGTAAAAAATATCTGTTTGTTATTGATCAGTTCTGAGAAGCTCTTCAACAAATAGTAGTATAAACAGTAATGTTTTCTTTTCAAGGCTTGAGAATTTTAGTTACTATAAGTTTTTTCTGTTCTTTTTACTCATTCTGGCTCACTTGCACAATATCAAAAACAACTTTAATGTCAAAAACAACTCTAAAGGATATGAAAATATCTTTTTTTAATTATAAAAGAATGATTAGGAAGTCTCATAGGTGTGCTGGGTAACAGGGAGCTTTAAGATCATGGGCTCCTGACTCCTGTCACCTTCTAGTTGGCATGTTACACAAAAGAAGACATCTTTGCTCCACCTGGTGCAGCTGTCTGGGGCTGAATCTTTTCCCGGGCTGCCTCCACCCTCACTTCCAAGAACCTGGAATCCTGTCTCTCTGCAGTTCTGCTGCTTCTTGTTGCTCTGCTTTTCAATCTGCAAGATACAGAAAGATGAAACAGTCAGACCCTAGGAAATGTACATCCTCAAGGCTTCAAGAATGATCTCTGTCCTGAGGAGTCTTCTTCCAGCCCCTGGCTATTCTCTCCTCCTTCAGTGGTTTCTCATTCAGTCAGAGCCCATGTGCGATCTCAGAGGCTGATCTCTCAACCCAGGACACATCAAGAGCAAGTAGGCATTAGTGAAGGGGACAAAATAAATCCTTGGTGTTTCCACTTATGGATAAATATTCCTTGTCAAGTGCTGCTAGTGTATTTAAAGAAAAATAGAGATTTCTGTTATTCCTGGGCCCTAATGGTTTTAAACAATTTCCATATTCCAAATCTCATTTCCCCAAATGTGTTCATCGAATCACTTTCCAACACAGAAAATAAAACAAAGTAAAATCAGAATTGTTAATGGAAAAAGCAAACTCTTTAAAATATTTGAAGAGGTTTATTCTGCGTCAATACGAGTGACTATGGCCCAGAGAAGTTTCAAGATGTCCTGAGAAAGTAAGAAAATGAAATTTTAGACCACATTCAATTCCTTCCATTTAATCAGATGTTTCTTTACCAGTTAAACAAATCTGGCCGGTATGTGTTCTTTGACCACCAGATGACATTTTTCTCTGTTCAGCTTGAATCTTTCACTGCGCCATAGCTGTTGACTTCCACATCTGT